GGCTACCCCAAACCCTGCCCTCCAATCTTGTTCCCTGCCATCAGACGTGGCTTTGTTGGCCATGTGGCAGTTTCCATCACATTCACCCAGTTTCTTTCCTCTCCTCTGGCTGGAAGCTGATTAACTTGGGCTTATTGCTGGTGTGATTTAATGACTTCACACTCCACATCCACTCAGCACTTCTGACACCATATTTCAGCACACGTCTTTCAGTCCCAGCTTCAGGCTCAGAGAAGCCTGGCCTTGCTGCAGCCTCTATTGTCCACTAGGGGGCAGCTTTGCCCACGTTTCCCGTCAGCCACAGGCAGCATCCTTCCCTGCACACCTGACAGGTGATCTCGAGCCTCATCTTGTCTTGTCATTCAAAACTCCACTTTCTTCCACTCATATTAACACACTCAAAACAGAGAAGCTCCTTTCCTGAGTTTCTGATCCAGCGTTTTTACAATGGCTGCACCCAATCATCTGCACAGCTTTAAAAACATACAGATGCCAAGACTCCACACCAAACCAATTAAATCAGAATTGCTGGGCATGGGAGCCCAGCAGGGGCATTTTAAAGAGCTGCCCTATGATTCTAATAAATGTCCCAGGCTGAGACACTGCAACCCTTTCCCATCTATGCACTTTTCTTCCAAACTTCTGGAATATAATCCCCTAAAACTTCATTCCTTACCTTTGGGCAGGGGCCACTTTAAAAGAGGCAGAATCAAACAGCGCTAGCCAGAGAATCCAACTTTGGTCATCACACCAAGTTGCAAAGATTGGGGATGATAGGTGGACTCTGTTCACTTTGCACCTACATACCTCTGCCATGTAGGCATTTTTATTAAGTATGACTTTCTTCAGAAAAGCATACAGTACACAAATAAGTGAGTGTATGTTTATACCCCAGTCTTATAATTCTAGGACTGAGTGACCTCACAGAGGAAATAAAGTCAGTCTGGAAACCCACCCACTTCCTTTTCCCTGGGGCTGACGTCTGGCAGGGGCTTTCAGAATGCCATATCCCAGCATTTTTTGGAGACACTAAGAAGACTGTGTGTCTCTCTGATACGGAGACTTGGAGTCTCTTTTTTCTCCAACAAAACACAGCATCCCTTCACCTCCAACCAGAGAGCTGTAGAGCGAGGAAGTGCTTACCCTCCAAGCCCTAAGGCAGATGAAATGGGTAGTAACAGACGGGGCTGGCCCATCATCACTGCCGTTGGCATTGTTTATTCCAGTTTATGTGGACAAGCCCTCATGTTTCCCTGATGTGCTCTTATATAATAGTTGAGTCCTGGGTTCGAATCCCAGCCTGTTACTTACTTCACTTCTTAGCCTCTCATTTGCCACATCCACAAAATAAGGATACAAAGAGCATCTAACTCACCTAGTTGTTGGGAGGGTTTAGTGAAACAAGGCATGGAAAGCACTTAATATCTGGGACAAGGATAAGTACTTCATAATGCCAGTAATAACCATACTTTTACTAAATTAGTATGTTAGGAAAATATTATTATTTTACAAATGAGTAAATTAAGGCTCAGAGTTTGGCTTGTTCACAGGGAAACAAAGACTAGAAATAGATGCGTCTGACTTTTCACTTCCACACTGCATTCTCATTAGACATTTGACAGTAGAGCTCAGACATCCAGGGGTTTCCCTGGGTGGACCCAGAGAGGGGGTGTGTCCTAGCTGTCCACTTGGGGCAGCCAAACTCCACCTGTCCTGCTCCCCCATTCCACCAATGACAGACTAGGGGCCTGGTGAGGAAGGTGACCCTGAGAAGACCCCTCCTTGGGAGGGATTCCCCCCTCTTCTTTTTATAGGAAACTGAGGGATGGGAAGTGACCTGGCTTCTGCTATGCCC